TCTCCCTGGTCTGCTGCCAGGGAGATGGGCAGCAAACCCCGTTCGTAACGGCGGATCCGACATAAGTCGGATCCGCGTAACTCGGGGATTGCCTGTACTCTCAAAACATTCCAAATAGCCAGTAAAGAAGTTGACAAATATTTTCATGAATTCCTCCTCCTCTCCCACGCCCTCCCCCTTCTATGTCTGCCTGTTCTTACCTGTGCGTATTCTGTGCAGGAAATTGTTTCTTTTAAATCTGTACTCAATGTTCATTTTATTTTCCAAAAACCAAAAATTGAGTTAAGGACCCACACGATGCTGGGTAAATCTTCTAGTAGTTAATAAGCAAGTCTCTTGCTTACCTAGATGCTACCGCCCATCCTGGCAAGCCAAAACGCTCATAGTCTCCTCCGTAGATATCCCGGACAAGCTTGTCAGCATGTGTACTGTCCCCTTTGGATGCCATTTCAAGAGCTTCTTCAAAACTTTCACAGCCAGTCAACAAACTGCATAAACCCAGAAATGTCCCTCCACCTAAACTAATGAAAGAAAAGAATGACTTTAAACTACATTCTTATACAGTGAAACAAAATAATCTAGAAACGCATTCCTTCAACAAAAATACTGTTCTGTTTGCCTTCTTGCTCAGAGGTTGGTATTGCTTAGCAAAGCCATCAACTGTAAATCATGGCAACAATGTTTACAAAGGCATCAGCTTAACTATGCACAAATTATCAGAGGCAGCAGCACTGGGTGACAGGCAGCTGGTCCACAAAGGGAGCTGGCTTTTAAACGGGCTCCCCTTGTAGACCAACTTCTGCCTGGCACCCTGCACGGTTGCCTCTGATACAGTGGCTGCCGGTCCCACCCCTAGGGACTATAGAACAGTCAACTAACCATTAAAAATTCATGAGGTTACTAGACTATTCAATGAGCCTATATTTAACATCCCTAGCTAGGATCACCAAATTTGGTATGCAGTAGGGATGTGAAAAGTTAACCAGTGAGCATCACCCTAAATGGTAATGCTTACCAGTTCCAGTTAACTGGTAACCGGTGCAGAGTTGGAGCAGATCCCTGTCTGACGCAGGCAGGGGACTGCTCCAGCCCAGCAAGAGGTCTGCTGCGGTCAGGGGTTGCTTCAGTGTCCGGAACAGCCTCTGGTCAGATGCACTGCAGGCAGGAAAAGTCTCAGTCTATAGGGAGCCCAGGCCCACCGTGGACAGGAGCTGCTCTGGCGGTGGTAGGAGCCAGTGACAGCCCTAGCATGGGGTTGGAGGCAGAAGCCCTGCAGCCTGGGGCTACTGCAGCTAGTTGGAGCAGTCCCCACCTCAGATCCTGCTATGTTAACCAGTTAAACTTTAGGTCAATCAGTTAACCTGTCAAAAGTTAGATTAACGTGGATTTTACATCCCCAGTATATAGCTCCCTCTTATCCTAAGTTAAAGCAAGCTATTTGTTTGGTTGTGCCTGGAATGGGATTGTTTTTCTTAACACAGAAAGGGAGAGGGCTGACAGAAGGGACAGCTACATTGTGTAATGATCACAGGGCTGGCAGCAAGGGGCCAGAGATAGGGAGAGGTACAGCTACAACCCCATTGGGGCACCAGGGGCAGGAGTGAAGAGAAGCAGCTGCCAAGCCCCTGCTATGGCCAGCCTCCTCCTCAGCCAATGCCGGGAAACTGCCGCCTGGCCAGCACGAACCCCCATCAGCTCCTGCCCCCCTAGCCCTCTTCTGAGTCCCTTTCGACCCCCCCAACCCTAAGTCCTGCACGCCCCCCACATTACTAGCCCTTTGCCCTGAGCCCCTCCTCACCTGCCCAGAGCTCATCCCTCTCAAACACCCACCCCCCTGGCCAAGTAAATTTTCTAGTAATGCAATTTAATAAAAAAAATTAATGACAATCTCCTGTTGCAGACCTCCACAGCAGATAAAGCATTAACTATCCTCATTATTGCCATGGAAATTAATTACTAACAGCTTTAACTGTAAACTATCAGGTAGGGATATCATCCCATAGACAATTTGCATTTCTACAAGCATTTCCCTCCCCACCTCCCTCTTGCTGCCTCTGCATCAGAGGCAACAAGGGAGGTGGGGGAGCAGGAGCCAGTGCCCAGGAGAAGCTAACTTAAAAGCTGGCTCCCCACGAGCACCGAATCCACGCCTCTCCTCCCCCTCAGTCCCCCTCCCTGGGTATATGTCAGCTCCCATGGACCCATCTGTTCCCCCCCCCCCCCACCC